TGGACGCCGTCCTGTGCCACTGCTGGAGGTGCCCCTGCTCTGGCGGGGGATGGGATGGGGGAGCTCCAGAGGGACCTTCCAGCCCTCACCAGTCTGGGATGCTGTGAGGCTGAACTATATAACATTGCTCTTTGTCTCTGAGCATCAGTTGAGTTTCTGCGCAGCAAGCGAGGAGGCAGCTTGGCCACCGATGTCCCCCTCCACCCACGGGCTCTCTGTGTGCTGCACCGGAACGCGGACTGATCACAGCTGGTAATCCCAACAGCTCCCTCCGGCAGCCGACGTTTGTCACTGTCTGAACACTCCGCGGTAAAATTCAAGTAGCATTGAAGTGGCATTTGCAAGATGAACTAACAAAAGTGGATTTTTATCAGTGGTCGATGTTTGCCGGTCATTGCTCTATTATTTATAAACCCTCTTAGCGGCTCAGGCCAACTCGGAATTGGTGCGCGCTGTCAGTTTGAACTCGGAGACTGCCAGACACGGTACTGTCCTTTTACACAACCGCACTGGCAATGAGAAGCCGTAGGAACTCACGGCAACCTCCGCTCGTAAAGCGGTGAGCTGTAAAACCGTTGGAACTGTCTGTAGAGCGGCAGGGAATTCGCTGTACCCACATGGTGTCTAAAGACAGGCTGTTCCCCCAAGAAGTCATCTGTAATTCAGCTTCTTTGAGTGGGGGTTTGCTCATGCTTTTAAATTTACTGAGGATTCGGGTATTTATAATGGTGAATTTAGAAGGAAAGGTGAGGTAGGAAAGCTGTGAGTTTGGGTGGGTCTTCTGTGTACCGTAATTTTTGGACTCTGACTTCTGGCGTCTGATCCCGGTCTTGTATGGCTGATGTCGGCTACTTCAGTTACTGACAGATTTAACCCTATTAATCTTATTTTAAATGGTATTTTTACACGGCCGTTTTCTTTTTCATTTGTAGCTAGCTGAAGCTTCACAGTGCTGGTTCTTCCTCCCTTGCTTTTTCTTTCTTGACACTTACTCCGTTGTGTGGACAGGGTCGCAAGCTCCTCATCATCGGCACCACCAGTCGCAAGGATGTCCTGCAGGAGATGGAAATGCTGAACGCTTTCAGCACGACGATTCACGTGCCCAACATTGCAACAGGGGAGCAGCTGATGGAGGCTTTGGAGGTGAGAAAAAGCTCAAGGATGACAAATAAGCTCGAAATGTGCTGGAAATGAGTGGTTTTGCAGTAGCCCTGCATTTGGGAACACCGTCCCACTTAACATGATGTGATAACGTAACAGTTCTAAGGCTTCTCCGAGTGACTTTTCCATATGATAAATTAAAGCAAAATGAGCGAACAGTAGGGAACGGTAGGGAAAAAGTTTGTGGAGTGGATTGAAGGGTTTCCGAGGTCATGGAAGTGGGTAATGAATATAATTGGGGCACTTAAACTGAATGTGCCTGGAGGGTTCCACGCTCTCGTTAATTGGAACAACATCAAATGAAGGTGTTCTGTGCTGAAGGGATTATAGGTTCTTCTATAAATTTGTGCCCTTAATGGCTTCTTATTCCATGCCGTAGTGGAAATTGTAGTGGATATTGAAGGCTGTTAAAATAAACCTAACAGGCAAATCTTTTGTGCAAACTTGCAAGATTGTTGCGATGACGATATCGCCGAAGCCTGAAAGACGTGGACACTCTTTGAAAACTTAGTGTGGCTTGAGCCGCTGTGTTCCTTCTAGGCTTTAACCTGGAGAAAAACTAGAATGGATCATAAAAGAGAATCAGTAACTGTTTGATTAGACATGTTATGAAAAGAACCATGATAGAATAAAAGAATCTAAGCGTTTTGCCTTGTTTAGATATAATGCAACACATTTTCCTTGTAAGCTAGAAAATGCTTTCTAACTTCTCATTCCCTTTTTCCTGAGTTAGGTACTGTTATTCACATTGACAATCTCCTGTTGTTTTCTTTTTTTTTTTTTCTTTTTTTCTTTTTTTCCCCCCCCCCAGCTCCTGGGTAACTTCAAAGACAAGGAACGCAGCACTATTGCGCAGAATGTCAAAGGGAAACCTGTCTGGATTGGTATCAAGAAGCTGCTGATGCTGATAGAAATGTCATTACAAGTAAGAGTGTTTCTGGTCCGGGGAGGACTGGGGTAAATGGAGCGGTCTCGGAGGTTCCCACTTCTCTGCAGATCTTACTCGGGCTGTGTGGGGGGAGCCTTTGAATCGGTTTAATAGAGGAAAGAGCTACGGTGAGAAGAAATTTCTGAACAAAGAAGTCACCAGGTCGTGGTCTGTGGAGAGATCTTTAAAAAGCACAGTGCCTGTGGGCTGTTTAGAGCCGCACCTCAGAGCAGAGCGTCTGGCAACTGGGGGCATTGGATTAACTTACCTTTCCTGAAATGTCTTCCCTACCCCCAGCACGTTCAGATCGCAGATAGCAATCACTTCGGATATTTTATTTTATTTTATTTTTTTTTTTTAACGAAAACGGTGCCTCTGCCGGTGTATGCGCTCTTTCCTTGAAGAAGATAAATCTGTCATGCTCCTCAGCTGCTCTTCTCTCGATTTTCCACTTTCAGCACTTTAAAGAAAATAATTGCAGAGGGTAGAAATATGTAGCTCTTAACCCTCCCCCGCACCCATCATCTATGCCTGCGAGCCAGCCATCAAGCTCGTGCTCGACAGCGTATGCACGCTAAAAAGGAGAGGGTGTAGCACGCAGCCCTAATCCGCGGCGGCTGACATTTCAGCGCCCTTCTGAGTCCTCCCCCCCTCCTCACGCGCACTCTCTTTTCACATCAAATGGATTTAGTGCAGCTGAGTGAACTGTCCTTAGATCTTCCTAGGAGAGGCTGAGCATAAGCTAAGAGGCATGTAGTTTAGCAGCATATAAGTCATGTATCCCTCTGTTCACTATTCACAATTCTGTTAAAACTTGCACAGCGCTGAGGATATGCTCTGACTGGATGTCACCTCGGGGAATAAAGTCATTTATCTAGATTACTTTTTCCTCTTCTTCCTTGGCTTTTAATTCCATACCTACAGGCAAGTCAGTAAGTCATTGCTCACATGTATTAGATGTGTTTAAGGGGCGCAGGCCTTCGGGGACTGCCTGCCTCCGCTGCGGTCCATTTCACTTAGCCTTGACAATGGATTCCTTCTTCTGACTCGGGACGGTTTCTTTTGCTGCTTTGACCTTAAGTGTTGGTTCTTTTCGAAACTCAAGGTTATGTAAATCGCGGGCCGCTCCGAATCTGGAGCCGGGGTGGAAACGCTTCTTCACGGCATCGCCCCGTGGCTGCACCCCTGTGATGCAGGAGGTGGGGGGTCTTGGCGCTGCCCTGCGCTCTGCAGACAGCTAAACTGCTCTTGTGCGGGTTTTTTTCCAACCAGACCACCGTTTTGTAGATGAGCCCGTGACCAATCAGGCTGCGAGAAGACGGGCAGAACGGTGACTCTCTGCCCTTTCTGACAAATTGAACAAGTGTAAAAGGAAGAGCTGCTACTGCCGATAGAGATGATTGATAATCTGCCTTTGCTGCTGTACACGGATAGTCGGTGGCAATGCGACTTACGTTATTGCACTCGATTCAGGTAATTGTGTAACAGCGTAGGTAATAGCATATGGAAGCTAAAGATGAAGAAGTTCTGTTCTGAAAGGTCTGAGGTGTTTACATGACTCCCATCTGCTGAGCTGCTATAAATACAGGAAAGCCAGACAGGATCTCGCAGAATAAGAGAACACTCATATCTGAATGCTTTGGAAGACCACAATGATATCGAATTTGGCTAGCTCTTACAGGAAAGCAAAATTTCACCGAGAAGTCCAAGACTGTTTCCTTTTTTTCCTTGGGCTGCATCGCAGGTTTTTAGAAAGACATCTGAAATCCCTTAAAAATTCCAAGTGATGGATGAAATTTCTCAAAATTGAGCTGATTAGATCCCATGGCGAATTCTTTGCAAAAAATGTGCACCTAGTTTCCTCCTCTGCAGTCACTCAATCTGTGTCTTCTGTTTTATTAGACCGGTAAACCCAATATATGCCGTACGTAGGTATTCTTAAGCTGTTCAGGTGACTTTCAGTTTGTTTCAGACTAAAGCCTGGCTGAACCAGTCTCTCAATATCAAAATCCTTTCTTGGAGTACTGTGAACCGCTGCATTGCTCTGCTGTCTTGGGTCGCTTTGTTACCTTGTTTACGAGCCTTGTAAGCCCACGCTTTTTGGCAGCTTAACTTCCCTCAAACGGTGTTTATTGCTATTCCTGGCCGCCTTTAATGTCGAACTACTCGGATTTAGTGTCACATACTTTGGTCATCTTGTATACACTGAGTGTCCTGGAATGATGTTATGTTCTTCTTCAAAAGAAGTCTCTGATGAGTGGATACGCTCATGATCTGCCCTGGGAATCCAGAAAAGTTTAGTTTTGAAGTATCCTTGACTGCAGTACCAGTACATGGACCACCTTGCAGTGCTCCCGGGTGCCACGCTAGCTTCCCCCTGCCCTGGGCTGCTGCCGGATGCGTGAGCCGCCTTTTTCCATAGCTGGGGACTGCTTCCTTCTGCTTGTTTTGCCTGCCTGGCTTGTTGCTCTTGGACCTTCCGGGCAACGCTCCAAAACCCAAGGTGTCTCTCCTTCTTGCAGTAGGAACCCGAATGAACTAGGCAGCTTTCCAGAAAGCCCCTTTTTGCACCTCCAGTATTTCCTCGTGTGGTAAACTTCTCTTTAGCATAAATAAAACTTAATCTAAGCTGTTTGTCCGTAATCTGTTTTAACTTAGCTGGGAACTTACTTTGAAACTTCATCATATAATATTGCCTATATTATTTTAAACTCAGCGCTGTGTCTGGACATACTGAGAGTTTGGATTTCACGACTGGTTTACAGGAGTACTTTACTACGCAGGGGCATGCACAGCTTGGTGGAGTATCTCCTGTTCTCTGGCCTGAAGATTAGTGAAGTCTCTTTAGTTGCCGTATTTCCTAAGGGCTCCCAGGCATGTCCTGAGGATGCTGCATTACCGAGACAGGAACAGCCATTTTCGTGCCATCTGAGCTGTGTCGCAGAGTCAATCTCCGCGTGGTTCTTCTAGAAAATCTTTCATCCCATTTGATGACAGCACTTCTCCTTTCACGGGGCACTAGAGGGTCTGTTCAAGAGTCCTGAACCTGCGTCCTCTTTGCACTCTATTGACACCGTCTTCTGCTCCTTCCAGGGCAGATCAACCTTCTGGTTGTGTATCTGCATTTTTTAATAACCTGTTTGATCGAATTTGCCTCTTCTTTGCCTTTCAGCTTCCTGCTTTAGTCTTTTGGACAAGATATTGTGTCGGCAGATAAATGCTGTTCTGCCCCCAAAGAGTCTGTAGGACCTGTGTCAGTACAGATTGTGGACAAAGTGTTTTACCGTGGCCCCTTTCTTATGTCTGAGTGAAAAGGGGTGGGGAGGCAGCGTCTGTGGTTTGGGAGACAGAACAGTGGCATTGTCAAGTTTGAATTTCAGCTGGTGGCATTAGTACAAATTTTCTAAATTTTCTAGGAATGAAAAGAAGAGATTTGTTTGTGTATATCCACCTCGGATCATGTTGTGGTTTTGGTTTTTTTTTTTTTTACCGGAACTATCTGGTTGGTCCTTTGTTGCTATTTCCTGATTGTGATGACTTTTCCACGGTTTCCTAAGGTTTCACCAAGGTCCTGGCAACAGGACCCTCATCTTTGGAGGTAGACGATACTCTTGATCCCTGTGTCAGTCAGTGAGATAAGTAATCTTGGAATAAGCCAAGCGCTTTGACTCTTCTGTGTGACATTCTTTTTTGATCAGCTTTGGGCTTTCCAACGATGGCCAGAAATCACGCCTTGCTCCACCTCGGTGTTTGTGGTTCCTTGGGTCAATCTGAGTTGTGAAAGATTCTCTCTTTACTGAGTAAATTCCCTGATTTTTGTGGCCTCTGCAAAAAGCGTCTTGACTCTTCACCTGCTGTTCCGTGCAATAGACTGCTGGTGTTGGTGTGCCTGGCAGCAAAAACATTTGCTGTGTTTGTATGGATTTTGCCTTTGGCCCTCCGCAGGGACTCTGTATGGAGCGCAAGTACATAAGTAGCGAGTCGCTGTTCCTCTAACCATCTAGCTGCCTCTACTGGTTTGCCTGATTTGCAGAAAACTTAAGATCTTAAAGTCACAGAACCATCCTTGTTGGAAAGAACCTCAGGACATCATCTAATCCAATTCAAACCTTCTGAAAGCGTGTGTGTAGATGATTACAGACATCTCATTACCCTCTTTGACATCAACATTTGATGGGAACCAGGCCTTTCCAGCTCCAGCACGAATGGATGAAGTTTGGGTTTTGGACTGTTGCCAGCAAGGTCCATTTCTTGGCCGTTCATTTGCCCAGCTCTTCTCGCTTTCTCATGGAGAATCTGTCTGTGAGTTTGTACCGTAGATGAGAAGCCAAATCAGAGGACTTGGTGGGCTGCTACTTGAGTAACTTCTCTGAAGAAGTCCTTTCAGAAGTCAATGTCTACAAAAACGCCGTGTGTCTCACCCGAGAAGGCCAGGGATCCCTCTCAGATGCATTTTTCTACTCATGGTCAAAGATCACATGTATTTTGTCCTTTTCCTAAATCCCTTTCTTTTATGGGCTGCCTGAAGCTTGTTGAGAGAGTGTGCACTGGTAATTCTTTTTGCTTAACCTTGGCCTTGGCCACTCTGGTTCCCAGACTCGCTTTGGCTGTCCATGTGGTTTCAGCCACTTTTGAACCTTCTGTCCAGGACTTGCAGTGAAGGCTTTATCTAGCTCACCATGCAGGTGGCATCTGGTTCTCTACGGTAAACTCTTCGTGACCGTCTTCTCTTTGGGTGAATGTCACGGAGAGCAGGAAGGTACTAAACAGATACACTCTGCTAATTGTTCAGTCATGAGAAAAGAAGGCTTAGGGGAGACCTTATCAGCATGTTCCAGTATTTAAAGGGTGGCTGCAAAGAAGATGGAGACTGCCTTTATAGGAGTAGTCACGTGGAAAAAGTGAGGGTTAATGTGTACGAGTTACTCTGGGGAACATTCTGATTGGACACAAGAGGAAATTTTTTCACAATGAGAACAATCAGCCATTGGAATAATCTCCCCTGGGAAGCGGTGGATTCCTCATTCTTAGGTTCAGCTGGGCAGGGTGCTGGGCTGTCTTGTCTAGACCATGCTTTTGCCAAGAAAGGTTGGACCAGATGATCCTTGAGGTCTCTTCCAACCTGGTGTTCTATGATTCTATGATAGCGTCTTTGTCTAGTCCAATCCCTGGCTCTGCCCAAGCGTGATTGACTAGAACAGGTTGCTCAGGGCCATGTCCAATTGGATCTTGAATACCTCTGAGGATGGAGACTCTATAACCTCCATGGGCAGTCCCTAACAGTGTGTGATCACCTTTGCAATGAAAAGATTTCTCTTCTGTTTACCTGGAACTACATTTCGATTTGTGCCTGTGGCCTCCTGCCCTGTCAACAGGCACCACTCAGAAGAGCGTGTGTCTCCTCTTCTTTACTCTTCCCATCAGGTATTTGTACATGTTGGTGAGAGTCACCCTTCCCTCCCCAGTCCCGAATCTTCTCTACTCCAGACTAAACAATCTTATCTCTCACAGCCTCTCTTTGCATGACAGATACTCCAGACCTTTAATCATCCTTGTGACCCTTTGCTGGACTCTCTCTGGTATGTCACTGTCTCTCTCGTACTGGGGAGCCCTCAACTGGACACTGTCCTCCAGGTGTGGTGTCACTGAGAAGAGGGGAAGAATCGTCTCCCTCAATCTGATAGCAACATTCCTCCTAACGAAGCCCAGCATGCTGTTGGCCATCTTTGTTGCAAGGGCCCATTGCTGGTTCATGTTCAACTTGTCCTTCAGGACCCTCTGATCCTTTTCTGCAAAGTCACTTTCCAGCCAGTTATCCCCCAGCATGTACTGGTGCATGGGGTTATTCCTGCCTAGGTGGAAGACTTTGGATTTCCCTTTGCTGAACTGCATGAGATTTGTGTCAGTCTGTATCTCCATCCAGTTGAGGTCTCTCTGAATGACAGCACCACTAGCAAGTACATGAAATGCACCTCTCGATTCTGTGTCATCTGCAAATGTGCTGAGAGTGCACTCTGTCCCCAAATCCCGTTTGTTAATAAAGAGGTTAAACCACGTTGGCTCCTGTATGGACACCTGGCATATATCGCTAGTGACTGGTCTCCAACTGGACTTTGTGCCACCGATCACAGCTTTTTGAGCCCAGCAATTTAACCACTTTTCAGTCCATTGCGCTGTTCCAGTTATATAGAATCATAGAATCACAGAATGGTTTGGGTTGGAAGGGACCTTAAAGACCATCCAGTCCCACCCCCTGCCCTGGGCAGGGGACACCTCCTCCCAGCCCAGGTTGCTCCAAGCCCCATCCAACCTGGCCTTGAACACCTCCAGGGATGGGGCAGCCACAGCTTCTCGGGGCAATTGTTGTTTGGCGGAGTGATGGCAATTTGCCGCGAGTCTTTCACATTAGAGAGGATCAACACCCCCGTGTGCATCAGCACAAAGAACTGATGCAGTTGCACGTTGTGTCTTCTGATGGCAGTCTGAGTCTCTGTCTCCTTCGTAGCCCTTCTTCCCGCTTCCCTGGTGTCTCTGTCTCAGTGCTGGGGGAGAGGCAGATCTTTAGAGGATGTTCCTGCTTTGATGGAACCACAACACAAGTTGGTACTGCAAGTTCTGGAAGCCGTGTGCTGTGATTCAGCTTTCCCTCGGTGCTAACCCACCACGCGCAGCCCCTCTCCTCCGGCGCTGTGCTGCCGGAGCTGTAAGGAAGACAGAGGAACATTGAGGACATCTTCAGTCCCTTCTGCTCCTGACTCTTTAATTTGCTGCCCCAGCTCTGGCAGGGGGCAGACAGACGCAGACATGGAGCGGGCCTGGCTTGTGCAGAGCCGGGCTGGACTTGGCGGTGCGGGATGAAGCCGATACGTGGAGAGCCGTGAAAACAGAAGCGCCTGATAGAAACACGTGTGTCCCTTTCCAGTCTGGCTCATCTCGTCGCTGTGTGAGCACGTTGAGCTTGTGCTAATCGGGTTTTTCTCTCGGAGCAGCGCTGTATCTGCACTATGTAGCTGCAGAACTTCTGGGCAAGCAGGGTCATCTCCGGCCAGGCCGACGCGCGGGCAGAGCGAGCGCACGCGCATGCGCGTCCCCGGCTGCCTCTCTGGGCTCATTTTCCCGTGGGGGGACCTGAAGATTGCATCACGTTAATGGAGATCTCTTTTGTTTGCTGTTTAGATGGATCCTGAGTATCGGGTGAAAAAATTCTTGGCTCTTCTGAGAGAAGAAGGAACGTAAGTACTTTTAATTTTATAGCGTTGTTTAAAATCCCCTTCTCAGAAACAAGTGTCTCTGAGGGGAAACCGCGGTGCGGTACAGCTGATCTCATTGGTGGCCCCTCCTCCGCTTACAGAACTGTGTGTCAGACCAGTTCTCCTCGCAGCGGTGTGCCAGTTGTTTTGGGAGGGGGGAGGTCCGGAAGGCTTTTTGAGAGCCTGCATGCCCGAATTCTCTGCTTTTCTTAATTTACCTGTGACTTTAAACGAGATATCAGAGCACAGTTTAGCTTCTTTAACTAAAGTAAGTCAGAGAGATTCTGCTAGAGTTAAAATCCAGCTGTTTATCTAAAATCTGGAACTTGGATTTCTTGTGTTTCTCCTGTCTGAGAGAAGGATGTCCTACTCTTTC